AACAACTTGTCTACAAATTCTTTGTTATTTGTTCGTCATAGTCGCACTGTCCCTTGCTTTTAATAGTTTAAGGGACCGTTTTAGCAAATCATTGCCATTCCATGGTATTTCTGTCAGGAACATGATCTGTTTCGACAAATACGTAGTGCCGTTTTACGCCAACACACTGCAGGTTCTAAAATGCCATGGAACATTGGCTGTCCCGTAGGCTACTAAGCGCATGGGCGACTACGCCATGCGAACTGGCAGAATTGATAGAAAACTATTGCTTTCGATGGTGATGTTGAAGATAGCAGTTTTCTAGTAAACCCATAACACCTGAGTTTATTTTATAGTATGTCGAATTTTCTTAACATTCTTGACGATCATTCGTCGTGATTAACGATGATCATCCTAGCACAGTCTATATGCCCACGTTAGTGTGTCTTGTTCCACTTTTCGCTGCTACCTTCCATACGGTTTTTAGCTCGTCGTTTTATTTGGGCCTAGGTTCTGCATTTGGGCACCTACAGATTCTTATTTACTTTTAAATCCGCTACTTCTAAAGTACATTGGTCATCTGTCAGTCGTGCAAGGTGACCTTCTTATTGTCATTTTCTTTCTTTTGAAACCGACACAGCATTCATCATTTCCATGTGATTTAATATTTCATCATTCTTGTCCCTGATGGAATTTTTTAGATTCCATCTTTTTATAATTTATGGTGTTGCACTCTTAACAGTTCTTCGTTTTTCGTTAACGCAAGGGTCTCACAAGGATACAAGAGTTGACAGTACCATGCCTTCTTACAGTGTGGTTTCTTGGTGACTTATTCTATCTGGTAGTCATCGATGGCCATCGCAGGTCATTGTGCAAATTCGTTTTCCATCATGGTCATCTACTTCTTGTTTATCTTCAGCCCAACTTGCTGACTGATATAGCACGGTTTCAACTTCTTTTCCCTTCACCCGCAACAGTACGATGTCATAAGCAAATCGAGTATGATTAAACTGTCTTTCACCGAGTGAAAATCCTCCATTCCATTCCATTTCATTCATATATATATATATAACATTTTTTGTTTGGGTATAATATGTATTTTAGTAATCGCTTTATCAAAATTCCATCCTGCATTTTGATTGGTTAACTTTGTTAAGCTGTCACGCTATATGGTTTCAGCCTCATTTTTCTGCAATTACGGCCAATAATTTCTGTGACAATGTCGCTTAAAAATTTCTTCCCAAACCGCTCTCGATGATGCTCGACATATCATAACTTTGTCAGTGAGGCAGATCAATGACTGTTCACTAACGATGAGTCAACCAGCGTTTCAATAATGTAAACTTCGAATTTTTCTTGAACCTTGTGCCAACATCTGCGTTGGCAACCGACACCAGTAAAACCAGTTCTGAAGAGTTGTGAGTAGTCTTAACGATTTTCACTTCTCGGTAAATTTTAGGTTCGTTTCGTATCGACGGATTTTTAAAATTGTATATAATTAGTAATTAACGTTACGACACTTCTGCTGATTGTAGTTTCTTTAGTTACTTCAATTTTCAGTGTTGTTAATTCATTCGCCAAACAATCGCAATTTTTGACGATGGTATTACTGGTCAAAAATTGCAGTTGTTCTCGAATGAATTAGCAACACTGAAAATGGTATTACTGGTAGGCTAAGCAACTGTTCCTTGCAAATCCGACCGGCAAAAGGCCCAGGGGACGGCCAAAATTGACCTGGTGCAAACATGTGGACGGAGTCTGTTCCAGACTGCATTTTTCTTTTGCCGAAGCTCAGACTCTGGCAGAGGATCGGGAACGATGGAAGCTCTGTCTGGTGAGTCTGCCTCCGCGACCCGAACGGAGAAGCGGCGATGGAAGATGAAGATGAAGGTATTACTGGTGTAACTTCCTTGAAACTGAAAAGATGAGTTAGAAATGTTAAGACGCACTTGTAATTTCCCTAGAGACTTGTTGATTGGAATATGTGACGCAATTCTTCTTTCTTTCCTCCCATTTAGATTTTATTCGAGATCAATTTCCAGTGCCTGAAGCGGATTCTGAATGTGGACGTAGACCGGCGAATGAGCGACAGATAATTACTTCTTAAACTCATGTTGATACGGTGTGGTGAGTATCTTGAAGCGGATAGGCCTACAACGGATGACGAATACTGGCCTTTCCGTTCGAGCAGCAAAGGACAATGAATAAACATCACCTGTATTGCGAGGTCGGGTATTGGTTGCTTTAGAAATCCTTGGCCGATGTCCAGCTTTCAAGAGCAAGATAGCCAAACGCCGAACGGCCATGAGATCAGGAGCATGACCGAACAGACGTTTAAACCTAAATATTCAAGAAATCAAACAGTTAACACATGCTGTCCCCAAAATTATTCAAACTGTTTGGCAAAGCCGATAGACCATAGGCCTTGAAAGATTCACAACAGGTTTCAAAATTGAAGAGAGTCTGTCACACCTGTAATATGACTAATCTGAATCCAGACATCGTCGGCAGATTTGCCAACACCTGGAGCAACATATTTAATTTCAAATTCAATCTAGCGAAGACAAAAGTGGTGACACTTGTCATAAGCCACTTCATCTTTCGAATGGTGTTTCGCTGCAGCAAGTGACTTCTTGCATTATCTTGGCTCCATGTTTGACAAAATTGGTACCCTCGAAAAGGACATTCCTCAACGCATAGATATTTGTCCATCCTGGCTCTTTTAACGTGCTCTTCGAACGTTAGAGCCAATCACTGTTCACCACTCGCACCCGGTATTGTAATGGCCGCCCTCCCCCACGCTATCGATCATCCGAAGATGATACCGTGACAAATCTCATCGCCGAACGACAACGTCCTTCATTCGAAGTTGCGATGGGAGCTTTCACGATTCAGTTGTGCCATCTATCAACCGGACCCAGACTATCAACATTAGGAACATCACCTTTAGCAGATCCAATACGGCCTGCTACACTTTTCTCGTTAGACCCTTGCATATTCAGCCTTAACGACTATCGGTTGACCTCTCAGTCAGATCAGTGACTCATACAGACTGTCGAATGATTTAGCTATCCAATTGCAATAGTAGAATGAGGCCACATTATAGACTTGGCCACGTGACCTCGAAAATGTCCTATTTAACACTTCAGATAAAAAATTTGCTAACCTCATAAATACGCTTTTTATATTCAGACCTATTTGTTCGTATACAACGAAAATCACAGGGGTTACA